ATCCGATATATTTTGCGTTCAGACAGGTTAATGAATCGATTAATTCGTCCTTACTCTGAGGCTACTAAGAGTAAACCATATTTGAAAGTTATGGCTGAGCTTGCTGGACGCAAAAGATGCGTAAGTATATGAAATAACCCGCCATTGTGGATTCGAAGTGTTGAAGTACTAATTTCATTCGATCATTCGAGCACCTTCCTTCTGCATCCGACTCTTTCTCGCTGCTTTCCGGCTCATTTTAAAGTATAAAATTCAAATGTTCTTCAAGAGACATTTTTCCAAATGTCGTCAGTTCATTCTTACTATACATGTATGTATATGTGAAACAAGTCTACAAGTATATAAATAGGTTCTAACCGTGTATGACATTAATATTAAGCATAATCATTTAAAAGATAAATGTCCATTGTGTACAAATTTAATTGTATAGAATTAAATTTGATCGTGCGTAGACAAATTAGGCACACAAGTTCTTCTTATGTCGTATTTCAATAGCTTAAAAATACGACTTTGATGTCATATTATGTAATATTTCTACACTCACCAGCAATGAAAATTAAGAATTCAAAATGCCACGAGAAAGTGACAAAATAAAATTAAAGCTTTTTATTTGAAACAGCGGCATTTTGGTGAACCACAGAAACAACAAAATATTTTATATTTACTTTTCTTCAACTTAATTTACCTGAATATCGTGCTTCCTTCCATATTATTAAAGAAATTGATGAATACGCATGCAGGCTGTAGTAGAAGAAATTTCAGAGTTCATGGCAGTCGTAGTCATCTGGCGATATGATAATATTAAAGCAATAGCCATTTCCACATGATAATTGACAGATCGAAACTTATCTGATTCTTCGTCGTATTTTCCATTTCTGATGTTCAACTATGGTCAATCTAAAAAATTTTGATACCTCTATAAGCGGAAATTTTCGTTACTGGATTCACTGGAGTTCAGATTAGATCGAACAAGATCTAGAAATTTGTACAATTAAAAATTTCCTACTAGGGTGTGCAAAAACCATATCAATTTTAAAGTGTACATCTCCCAGTACAGATAATTAAAATCCATGAGGTGAACGTCACCCACGACTACTGAACACATTACTTTATGTTACATGGTTTCTTCTGTTGTCGACATTCAAAAGATTATGAAAATATTAAGAGGAGAACCTTTAAAATAATATGTCCAATCTAGTGTTTAGTTTAAAGAGGTAAGTTATAAAAGTAGTATTCTATTGAATTTTAAACCCTTCACGTTTAATATTATCAAAATCTCACTCCAATTAGATACACATATAGAGTGTTCTGAGTTTTGTACTTGAAATGAGCTTTTGCTGGTCTTCTTAGAAAGTTTTGAGATTAAATAGCTTTCAGGTGATACAGAGATACTTCGTTACTGATTGCCTAAACCAAGGGGCAATACATTGAAATTTCGTTCTATTCGAATTGTCCCTGCTTTGCTCTTTGCGAGGTTTCAAACTTAAGAAATATTTGGTCAAGATAAATATAAGTTTTAATGGTTGGAGTTCGATCTACTTTCATAGAATCTCAATCGTTCATGTAGCAACCAGTGCTTCAACAAATCTGATTAAATTCTCAAATGGACATTAGACTTACTTTATAAGTATAATGGGAATAGGAACTACATAGTTGAAATCGCATTCTGATATTGTGTTAAAGTGTACTTTACAAAATATTTTTCGTAAATAGGTATATTATTCCAAACGTATACCAAGTTTAACATATGTTGTTTATTTATGTACGATATTTCGAACCGGTATGTTTCGAAAACGTTAGCCTTCTAAATTACGAAAAGATCTTAGGGGCGTTATTGACTTACTTAAAATTTTATGACGTCAGTTTAGCGATAACGCTTGAAACTTGAGCGTCGTCACCTGAACGACTACTTTGAAGTGGAAGTAAAATGAAAGCATTTCACAATTATTATTCCGAATGAACAGTAAGATCAAACGGAAATTGTTTATTTTCCGACTAAACTAGGTTCATCGAAAACAACAGATCACAGCGTCACTAATAGCTTTATTTCATTCTGTTAAGAATTAATGAATAAAATCAAAGTCGTTGCAATTATTTGATCATTCCCGGTTGATGACTTTGTGATTGCAGGTCTTATGCTTCTGATATTTGTCTCCTTTTCTGGTTACGCAATAGCGTAGCGTAAGAGGGATTTTGCGGTTTAATGACATCTCGTTTTTATAATATTTGGAGGTAATTGGAAATATTATTCATAGAATTGGTATACATTATAAATCATTCAATCTATATACGTGAATATTAATTTACTTGTGCGGTATTAAGATTGACGGATATATATACAGTACCCTACTCTTGATTAATAAAGTTTGGTGGTTATATAACCACATCGATTTCATAACACCTAAATTACCGTTAAAATATCAATCATATTTATTGAGTTACGATTTATTGGCTCTATTTTGGCTTTTATAAAAGTAACCGAAGCTAATCCATATTTCTTACTCATTGTCAGAGAGCAAACTTCCAGTTTCATGAGATGAGAATGAGTCCGTTACTACTCTTTGAATTTATGGACCAGCCTGGCTCAGCAAGCGTCAACAACCCAAATTAGGGCTCATGTCCTTCTGAAATTGTAGCATTCTGATTGGACATATACATAGTTTAATTGTAATGAGGCAAAATTTTTAAACTTTGTGAATTTGGTTAATATATAGCCTCGTCTGGATCTACATCAAGTTTTCGGCATCAATAATTTCACAAAGTCTGAGGGGTCCCTGTTACTTTTACATTACCTAACTTAACTTAAATGTAAACTTACATTATAATTACCTCCGTTGAGGTAATTTCAAAACAGGATTCGAGAGCTCAAAACCCAACCAACTAACTAGCGGAAGCGAAATGTTTTGATGCGTATGTAGCGAGACTGCATTGTATAGGAGAAAGTAGTATAAAAATTTACGCAGTAAAATCAATGGCGTTATCTAAGCAAAATATAAAATATTTCTGAAACTTCCACGGCAAATCTCTAGCAACAACACAGGTTCTTAATCCTTAACGATTAGGTGATATGGTAAACTAACAAATTAGATGGTGCAAGCATTTGAAAACATACGCGTAAAATATTTAGCACATCATTCGTGATCATTATCTAAACAAGTGTTGGTGTCACCTGTTGTGTGGAAGAAGAGACTGAGAGTCAACCTGAATTTCGAAGATGAAACTTGTTTTTTTGGGATAATACTATATAATATACAAATATAGTATGCCGAAATATCAAGAAATGCGTATGGGTATCATAGCATTGAAATCGAATGAAATGTACAAAATACAATCAAACAGAATACGCGGGGTGAAAAACAGTGACCTTTGGTTTATTTCTACACACACTTACTTGATGATCTATATACTGTAGGTTTAGCTGTTCCAGATGCTTTTATTGCATTATACCAAGATCGTTTATTTTTCACGAGAGAATGTTCGGTGAGAGTTCTGAGGTAGAGGGAACTTATGCAAATTCACGATGTGATGTAGCTGAATACAAATTATCACATATGAGCATGCCTGCTAAGCACCTATATGCATGATGAGTATGTTTGTCAGTGGCGAGTATACAGCGTAAAGTGAGAAAACGCGTTTGACGTTGTAAGTGAAACCAAAACCAACCATTGCCACGACACTAAAACGGCTCTTACTCCGGAAATAATCAGAATTTTGAAAAATCCTTTTATGGAGATATTTCTAGATACTTAGACTCGATTTTTAGAAATTGATTTTTTCTAATTTCTAGACTAGAATACCCTCTTAACTGTTTTTAGTAAAGCACTATTACATATTTAACTAGGGACATAAACGGTTGATACGTCCGGGTCCTATTTTCCAATTTGTTCACTAAGAAAGAATCATAACCTTTCTACCCAGCATAGATCTGTTAAAAAATATATTATAAAAACGTCGTATCCGATTGTCTAGATGTTTTAGAATTTCTTTCCAATTAAGTTGTTTGATAGCACATAATTCAGGACAGAATATCTGATTGCTACCTTAGAGATATTTCTTTTAAAAACTTATCAAATTTGGATTTAAAAAGTAGTCTCATCAGTGGATCTACTCTTTTATGTTACTGCCCTGAAAAAGAACCTGCAAAATGTTATTTGTAAACAGCTTATATTTTATATATATTTAGCCGATATTCTTATTTTATGTCTATATGGTGCTAATTAAAAGCAGGAATGCATTTAAGTGTTAGATCTGGCTAGGGCTTAAAACAAAAAATGGAAATTCGATTAAAGTAGACTTTAGGATTCTTTCAATGTTACTCAATTGGTGGAATGCTGACAAAACTGTTTCCTCTGCCCAGTTTGCTGTAGTGTCGAAGGGTTCGGGTCAGTCAGATTCAGCATGTAATCTTTAAACGCGTTTTTTCTCGGAACTGTATATTTCATATTGGGCGACGAAAATACTTGGAAAATATCGCAAAAATCCACTTTAAATTTTAAGGTTCTTAGCGATAATATCTATTAAAAAATAAATTTTTTTTTTACAATTTACTAATGATTTTCGTAAAAAATTACGAGTACACCATTTTACTAAAAATTTATGTAAAATCAAATAGTAATGTAAATTAGTATCCTGATTTTTATTTTGTGTAACAATGCACGAGTTACTAGATTCTGAACAGCATATACTACTACTAAGTTTGCCACGAAGTTTCTAACACCCAGAAAGAAACTTCAAAAATGCTATAACATATGTATATATACTTGTATATAACATATAATATAAGTATATATGTACGAGCAGAGTTGACTGAACTATGTCCATATGTCTGTATATGTATAAGCGAACTGAATCCGAAATTTTGCAAAATTGATCAAATTGATAATGGTTTTTTTTTTTTTTTTTTTTTTTAAATTTTTGTTTACATTAAAATTTTGGAGGCGTACACAAATGAATTTCGCACACATTGTCAGAATGTATGTGTGTGTGCTTTTCCTTTAAATGGTTTAATTACCTACATACATACTAGCATGGAATATACTCATGTTATTCGGTGTATAGCCTTTGTTCTTCGATTTCTAAATAACACCGGCAGTTCGCGCTCACCACTTGCTCCGCACGAAAGCAATTATCGGGTCGCGGTTTCGTTGTTTCGTTCAAAATTTCGTTTAACTTCGAGTAAAATATATAAAAATTGATTGAACATTTGAATTAGGTTAACAAAAGTAGGTTACATGTTGTTGTTGTTTTGTTTTTGTTCGCTTTAATAGCTAAAATAGTTTTTTTATTTATTACAAATTGCTGGAATTTGTGATATTTGTGTCAAATGATACATTTTCATTGTGTTCTTGTTCGCTGCTACGCAGTTCAGTATTCCTTTTTATTTTGAAATTCTTTTCATGGTTAAAATAGCGCTCGGTTTCAAATGAATATATACGATACGTTGAAAAAAATATGAATTTCGTCATATATTTTTCGTATGTAATATGCAAATATGTATGCATAGAGTAATAGAAATATTTTGAAAAATTGTGAATAAGGAGAAAATTAAGATACTCAGAAATAATTAATTTAATTTAATTTTTAATAACATTTAGCGGTATTAAATGTAATAATATATACATAAATGAATTCTAATAAAAATGGAGTTACTTTTTCTTTTTATATTTACATAAAATATTAAGATGTTTTCGTATTTATTTCTTTTAACCTCAAAAGATTAAAATATCATTTTATTTAAAACAAAAATTGTAATTAATTCATGAATATTTCATAACAAATAGAAAAAAATTTGGAGTAAAAAAAGTATGGGTTTTTTAAGTATTTCTTAAAAACTATTAAGCGGGTATTATGCATATTGTTCTACCAGAGAACTTAACTTTGTTTTAAGTTCTACCACATTCATGTTAATTCCTTGCAAGCAACATGTGAGACCACCATCCCAACAAACAAATGAAATATGCAACACACTCTAAGCAGAGAACTTAAGTTGTTTTAAGTTGTTTTAAGTTCTCTGCTCTAAGTGGCGCGATGAAAAGGAATGACAGAAAAACTCGATTCGAGTTGCTGGACTCTTTTTGCTTGCGTGAACGCACCGACCGATATCAAAAGAGAATTTGCCGGTAATGAGCGATAAAAGAGTCCCCATGTTAACGCAGTAATAAAGTTAAAGAGCGTCGAGTCTCTTATTTTGAAAGTATTTCTTAAAAAATTCAACTTTTTTGCTGTGGTTTAAACAGGGATCGTATAATTTTAAAATTATAACAAGAAATTCGAAGGTTTCGCAAAAGCTTACAGGGAGAAATTCATTATTCTGCGCATATTGCAAAAAAATTTAAATATAATAAAAGCTGACTAAAGAATCAAAATATTTTTAGTTAAAATTTCAAAAAAAAAATGTGTGCTTTTTTCAAAAAATTTATTAAACTTTTTAAAAAAAATTTGCAAAATGAAGTCCAAAACTATAAAATGATTTGTGTTGAAAAAAACAAAAACGAAAATTTTGAAGATATTTTAAATATAGTGTTTTTATACTAACACAAAATGTTGCACAGATTCTAACAAGAGCAGACCTCTAAGTAAATACTTAGCCTACAAAAGAGAAACGAAGTTTTTGAAAAATTGCAATTTATTTCTCAATTTAGTCTCCTTTTACCTTGATCTAACTTTTTAACTCGTCTTAAAAAAACTGCTTTCGGTCGACTGCAAAGTAGCCCGCCGTGGCGGTGATAACCTTCTCATTTGACTCAAATTTCTTTCCGACGAGTGATTTTTTCAAGTTTTTAAAAAAGCGTACGTAAAGAAATGTAGAGATTACGGTGAATGAGGCAGCACTTTGTAGCTTAATTCGACCAATATGGTTGAAATTCGTCGTCGAATCGGCCTATTGGGCATAGTAGAGCCTGTGGCCGTTTTGATATTCTCCAGTGGGTTTTAGTGAACTCGGTTTTTTTTTTGTGGTCAAATTCATTAGATTGGTCGCATATAAGTCAGTAATTCTCTTCACTTTCCCAAGCAACCACTTGGTTATCTAAACCACGGTTAACAGAAGTGATGCAATGCTGGGCGCAAGGTTTGAGTATACACAAACTAATGATTGAATTATTACCAGTGAGGCAAGTTCTGGTATGGTATACCTATTATGAATTTTATATTATATAAAGCTAACGCTAGAATATGAAGACGAAGCTTCGAGTTTACGAGTATTAACTGTCGCATAACTCTTACACTTACTCCATATATTCTTGCGCTCCGAAGATCAATTACGAAATAAAGTTTCATGAATAGACATTTCCTTAAAATATGATTAACACCCCCAAATATATGCCTCGCATACTGACGACCGGAAGTTCACATAACGTGAGCGTCATGAGAATGTGGAATGAATTTAATTTACGATTAACAAAAGTTTCGGGGTATCCGACTAATGACAATTGATACGATTATACATACAAAGATATGCGAACGAAGAAAAAATGTTTCTGTTATTATTTCAGCATTTCATTCATCCAGAATTAGCTGATTCCCAAAAAAAAAAAATATGTTTGGCCAAATATCTTTACTACTCGCTGGAGTATGTTTACTATTTAGCAATGTCAACGCGTTGTCAGAGATACCCAATTGCGTGTTTGAAGATACTGTAAACCTGACCGCCAGCACCAAATTCACCAATGGCTCATACCTCTATGAGGGGCTATTGGTGCCACCACATTTAACGGGCCAATATGACTATGTCGAGTTGTACGATGGTGAACGTAAGCAAGTGAAGCCACACGTACGTGGTTGTGTGTGTCAACTGAAGAAGTGTGTAAAGTTCTGTTGTCATCCGAGAGCGGATATGTACCGGTTAAGTGAAAACTCACCGTCGCTCTGTGCGGAACAGCTGAATGAAGAGCTGAAATATTCACCGTACGTAAACGTTACGCTGCATAACAGTAGTCGCGTGTTGATGCATGTACTGGATGAGTTTGTCGTGCAACAGGGAATACCATGCGAAGGTGGCTATATGCTAATGCCACACCTTTACGAAGATGATCAGTGGGAGTTGCGAGAGGTAAAAGGTGTAACTTAATATTTGCTAAATATTATATGTTGTTATGTATATGCTTTCTATAGGATGGTACTTTATTTCGTCTAGCTGATGCGATGCTTTTATCTAGACGAGATTATTGCCTGCAATCGTATGCAGTCGGAGACACGCATGTGCTAAATCCAATGAACTGTCCTATATATTACGTGGAACCACCATCAATCGTGCTGAACACGATTAGTAAGTATAGACAGAAATTGAGAGAGCGATAGTACGAATAAGAGAGAGAAAGAGAGAGAGAGAGTTAAAAAGATAGTGAGAACGAAAACGAGTGGAAAAAAAAGAGACTTATGCTGGAAACAGTCACCGACGTTCCGCCCTTCTGAACAAAATTCGTCAAAAGTTATGCTCGTAGTGGCAACGTAGAGCTTTTGTTTTTATTTCACCATTTTGCACACATAATGTAAAAGCTCAAAACTAAAATCCAACTATTAAAAATAGTATTTTTATTTATACTTGTAAGTAGTTGTATTCGACTGTGATTTTGAGATAGTTTAAGAATATTTCAAAATACATTTAAGTTTATTTTTTAATTTTTGCGCCGGTGACTGTTTCCAGCATTAAAGTTAGAGAGAAAGAGAGAGTGTGAGCGAGATAGAGAGAAAGGCAGTTGCCGGTTATAAAAAGTTATAAAAAATATTTTGGTTTTTTTCTTTCCAGTTATGCTGATTTCTGCGCCATTTCTCTATGCAACTATCCTAGTTTATTGGCTCATTCCGGAATTGTGGAACTTGCATACCAAGTGCCTAATTTGTCATCTAATTTCATTAGCTATTGGCTGGACGTTGATTGTAATGATCAATTTACGACGTGCTGACTATGAAAGTACTGTTTGCACTATTATTGGTGAGTTTTTTCATTTCTTCCTAGTTTAGAGATATAACTTAAACGATACCTGATGGATTAGCGAGTAATTCATTGGATGCAGTGCAAACGTAGATCCAATCCTCTCGGAACCTGTCAGTTGGTTTAGATATTTTATGAGCAAGGGGCACATGTTTCGCCAGAAGAAGATCAAACAGATATATAAAGGAAATCCTTTTACAATTTTTATGGCACCAGGTTCAGGACGACCTAACATGCGTTCCTTGCCGAAGAAAGGAGCCTAATACTTGGAAAACCTTTGAATATTAGTAATCATAACTAAGACTTTATATATAAGGTGAAGAGATGTTACGCAGGGATTCTCCATGTAGTCACAAAATAGTAATACAGCTGATGTCTAAAGATCATAGAGACAGAAAATACGCTTTTTGCACAAAATGATGGTTCCCTTCAAACGCATTTCAAAACAGATGTATAAAGGAAATCAAAATATCGATCGGAGACATTCATTTGGAACTGAGACCTGATAAAGTGTGCGCCTTTAAGATCTTGCTACATATCTCCCTCTTTCTTGAGTCAAAATCTGTCACAATATCTGAAATAGTCGCATGTAAAAACTTTTGGGCAAAATGGGGTCAATTACAATCAAGGTTATCTAAGTAATATTGCACTGCTGATCATATGACGGATATCGAGGATACCCTCGAGTAGGTTCGAGGAGAAGATCGTGTCTTTACAATAAATCATAATTATCACCAAACTATATATTTTTCTCTTTGATAGGTTTCGTCTCCTACTATTTTCTCACAGCCGTATTTTTCTGGCTCAATGTGATATGTTACGATGTTTGGCAAAATTTCTGCCGTTCCAAAGGCAATGTACAACATTTGACTCAACGGAAACAATTTATGTACTATTCTCTCTATGGTTGGGGACTACCAGCGCTAATGACCATTCTGACTATCGGTTTGCAGTATGCAAATCTACCAATGTACCTAAAGTCGGGTATAGGATATTCACATTGCTGGTTAAAGAGTAAGTTAATGAGCGAATATAATAGAACAATTTAGCTAAAATTTTATGTGACGCCACTCTAAAAATACAAATAGAGCTGATAAGAAATATAAATTTTGATACTTTAACTACAAGCGAAAACCTTTCTTGCGTTTCTTCAACGTTGAATGTTAAGCAAATATTAACCGAAAGAAAATATATTCGCTAAAGTGACGTCAGTAAAAAAGTTGTCGGCCGAATTCATTGTCAATCGATTGAGAGCGCGATAAATAGCTTAACTGGTATACTCTCTGCTTTGTAAAAAATATAAATATTATAAAATGTATATTCTTCTCTCTTAAAGCTGACGACTGGTCCGCTATGATCTATTTCCATGGACCATGCCTGCTGCTTATTATTTTCAACATTGCCATATTCGTTTTGACCATAAAAAAGGTATATCAAATTAGAAATGAAATGAAGACATCGGCTGAGGGTAAAGAGAGCAGACGAAAATTGCGATCGCATAAGAATAAGTAGGAGACTCACTTAATTTTTATTCCTACTTTATTGTATAATAACGAATATTTTATTATATTCCAGTGTTTGGCTCTTCTTTCGCCTCTTCACTGTCATGGGTATCGGCTGGCTATTGGAGATACTCGGCTATATGGTGGGCAATAGCAGTGATTATGCGATTCTTTTTCAAATTGCCGATGTGTACAATGCTGCACAGGGCTTGATCATTTTTGCCATCCTGGTGTTAAAGAAGAAAGTGCTGTTGCTTATAAAGAAAAGGTAACAAAATTATTGAAAAGTTTTTAATTTTTAAATAAATTGGCAATATTATATATTTTAATTGCATGATACGCAAAAGAATTCTGTGCATCAAGAGTTCGGATACCACAGACTCCGCCGAATCGCAGTGCTCTGAAGAAGAGATAGCCTTGCAAAGTATGACAAGCGGAGTTCCACAGATTTTTAAATAAGTGAATATAGGTAAAAAAAATGTTTTCTAATAAATTAAATGTTATGGGTTGTTTTGTGTTATGCTGGTTTGGTTTCATTATGGATGCATGCGCTCTTGTGGGGTTTGGGTTTTAGCGTTTTTTTAACTAACAAATACTTTTTTCACATTAAAATATAATTCATGGTTATCATTTTGTCTCTTTTCTAAACATTTAACACTTTTTTTCGAATTTTCGATACTAGTTTACTAATTTTGATACTATTCAATTTTCAGATCATATGAAACCAATAGTATCATTAAAGTGGATTCCTCAAATCGAATATAGTTCAGCAGCGTTTTAATTGTGTAAGTATACTTTATTATATTTATTGTTCTCGGTATTATCAGTTGGGAAAATTGTTGTGTACGCAACCTCTCCAAGGGATTTTTAAACTTTTTTTTTGACTCGGCTCCCAAAATTTCTGATAATAATATCGATTTTTAGTGCCACTGTTTTGCTCAAAATCAAAATTTCGACTATTCCTCCGATCATTACTTGTATTCATTTATTGTATATAACAATAATTTTGTTTAAGCTATTGCATAGCTTCTAACGTGGGCTTTGAGCGCGGCGACTGAATTAAGAAATTCCGTAACGGAAATCAATGAATTTGAAAATGAATAATGATCCACAAGAATCCACAACAATATATGGGACCACCATTGACGCGGTATTTTCTAGATATTTAGAGGATATCAAGTCTTAAACTTATGTTCCTTATTTCAGTTACCATAAACCTATAGTTTCGATCAGAGATAAAGAGATGCCGAACTCATATCTCTCTGGAAATGTGAAGCGCAATTGCTAAACGTCAAAACCTCCACAACTCAGGCAACTGTCAAAGTTCAGGAAGTCTGATGTTAAGCATTTGGAAAAGGAGGGACGGCCAGATTGAAATCCTACAAAAAATATGTGAACAGAGAGATTTGTTGCTGCTGTTAAAGATCACTAACAAAAATTGGAAAGCAAGGAAAATGAAAGAATACGCGAAATTGAAATGTATCTGATGAAATCTTTTGTGATGCCGTGCTTAGAAATGTTAATTTTCAATTGAAAATTATACAAAAAAATTTATTAATTCACAGCTAATACATTTATTCTTTTGATTAAGTACTGAATGTTCAAAAATCAATTGTTTTAATATATTACAAAATCACAAAAAAAGGTTTAAATAGTTTCTGCATATGTTTAACAGATACATGTATAATAATATTTAATCTTAATAAATGTTGGGTATTTTTATTTTAATTCTCAAAAGTTATTATTTTGTCGGATCTGGCTACAATGGAAAATGTTATAAAAACGCTAATTTTGAGGCGCTCTCACACTGAAAAAAGTATGCATTGCGTTTTGTTCACCTAAAGGGATTAAACTTTGCACAAATAGTGCCTTTAAGGTATGCCATCTCAAGTCTTAAAATTGTCAAAATCAAACGATAACTGCTCAAGCCCCCAGATACCGAATATGTGGACCCCAGTGCGAATAACTGACTTTTTACCCAATATTTATATCGGTCAATGTGTATGATATAATATAATTGAGATTCGGAGAGAAAGCTTTTCTAATAATAGTATGTCTGTAAGTCAAAAATGAGTTGAATCGGTAAATACCCCCATTACCCAATATAAATATTTTTGAACTTCCGGCTGATTTTACTTCTTATATAGTGGGGACGACGTTTCCTTCTGGGTATTACAAACTAAGTAGCAAACTTAATATACACTGCTCAGGTTGATCCCTCAGTTTGTGTGACAACTACTTGTATATGCTATAGTAGTCCGATCTGAATAACTTTTAAGATGTAAACAAATGGTTTCCCCATAAAATGTAAACTATGCGCACATAAAATTTAAACAAAGGTTGTTGACTTGCCTAAATGTAAACATAGGTTGTGGGCTTCTAAACTAAAGGGTTATAGACCTCATAAATTGTAAACAAAGGTTGTTAACTTGACTAAATGTAAACAAATGGTTTTAAACAAAGGGTAATTGAGTAATGAATAACTGGGAGGAGTATAAATTACAATTTAAAGTTAGAATAAGACGCTGGATTATAAATTAAACTAAGATTTATATACACATCTTCATTCTAGTTTGGAAAAGAAGGAGATCTATATCTTATGTACTTCTTAATAATAAACACCCTTTCTTATTTTCTATTTTTTCTAGAGAATGTTGCTGCCGACTGAGTCTTGGAAATGAAGAGATTAAACATACACATTTATTAAGCTATATTAATTTCGTCAGCGTTAAATGTATTTTAATGTTTCTTTTAAATTGCGTTTATATTTAATACCGAATTCAACATACATATGTACATACATATATATGTACTATGGTAAATAATGTGACTTGCTGCCGGGTCCGCTATCATGGCAGCGAATTTGAACAGCGACTGTGATAGAAGCAGTGACAGAAAAATACTTAATACTCTCATAAATAGTAAATTAAAGCCAAAAATATATATATGTATGAATTAATTATAATTTAAGTGGCACAAAGCATTTGTTGAGGGTTGTGAAGTCATCATAAAATTCATATATCTCTGTTAAAGACGAAAACAGCAAAAAAATTATAAAAAACACTGCTTGAAAATCATTGTCTTGGCATTAGATAGATCAGATATAGCAGACAGCAGAGTCGATATGGAAAATAGAATTAGACGTTGATATGTTTATATTAGAAGAAGCATACTTTGAAGGCGATAATTAAGATTTATTTTAAAATAATTAAAAATATTGTTTTTTTTTATCAGTCCGAATTAAATTTGATTCAGATTCAGTTATATATAAAAAACTTAATGCATTTATTATACATATGTATATATTTTTGAAAAATTACTGCTTTCTTTGGAAATAAATTCTTGATTAGGACGACGATATGAATGATGAAACAATTTCTGGATTTCTTTATAACATATCAATATCGAATTTAAGACGATATAATTGGAACTAATTAAGCTATAAAGTACAAGAATTACTGAGGAAAGAAACATACGAGTATGACGCTCATAAACTATTTAAATTTTCTAAAACAATAAACAGTCAGGTTTTTCTACAGCTGAGATGCAAATCCGGACAGACAGAGTCAGGTAAAAGGCACATCTGTTTCCCGTATAACGGTATTATTTATACGTAAATCTACGGATGTGGCGTCCATACTTTTAGGTGGTATTGTAAATCTTATAAACAGCTTGATTTAGTTTGTTTGTTTACATCTAATGATCTACATACACATATGAAAATAATCACCGTTTCTCTGGTAAAATTTATACGGTATATAAATATAGAGATATCTTTAAAAAAATTTAATGTGACATTAATGAGAGTTTGATGTGAAAATCGATCACCATGTACTGAAGAGAACAACTTCTGCTTAGCCTTTATTTTATAGCAAATAAATTTTATGTGGAATATCTATCTACATATTTACAAATGAGACCTTCTTTTTCAGTTATTTGAAAGTTTGAAAGCTCTGCATAATTGAATTTACTAATTATTTTTGGATCTCCCTTCTTCACTAATGCTTCTAAAAGCTTTAGTGCACTTATTTGCAAGATCAACCAACTGTTTTTTATTGACTGCAGTAAACCGTAGCATGCTTTTAGGCTTCATAAATTAATTGATAATATTGAAAGCTTTGCGGTTTTGAAATTAAATTCTTATTACAATACGCGTTGTTTATTAGTGTCGGAGGTGCTTGCGGTTGTTTAGTTATTATTATTTTCTTATTACCGCGGTTAAAATGCTGTGTTGGAATATGCATGACTGACTAAAATGCGTAAAACCTATATATAGAATATATTATATATTTTTAGAAAAAAAAAAATTCCGTAAAGTTCTTGAAACGATATACTTAGTAGACGTCCCAAAAAAGCTCTAACAAAAACAAACAAAAAAACGGACAAAAACATCAAAATACCATAGTTTAGGATGAAAACAGAATGACGTTGATCGAGCTAACTGACACATAGCAACATGTTGGACATAGCGAATAACGGACCGAATCAAAAAAGAAGAAAGTGGCGATGGAGACGATGCACAGTGTCAGTATGCACTATTATCAGACCTTATTCTTGTAAAAAAGAATAATGAAGTGATAAACGCCAGAACTGAGACACATTTTGAAACAAAAAAATCGTAATACAAAATTATATGGAGTAATTAGAAGATCAAAGACTTCTTAGTTATGAAATTTTTTTTAAAAAGTTCAAAAAAATGAGAAGTGAAAAAAGATAGTTTGGAAACCAGGTTTTCCAATAATTAATCAAAAAAATACTGAACGGCAAAACTATCGAAATATGCCGCCTGTATTTCGTGACCATGATATTAGAATGACAATTTGAAAATTACATTTTAGAAAGAAAGATGCAAATATAGCGAAAACATTTAAAGTTGAACATGCTTAGTTCAGTCGCTGATTTGGTTGCTGGAACCACAGATCGAAGGCGGTCATACTTTTTTATTAGCCGTTGTTGTGATTTGACATCAGTGGCAGAATAATAAATGTAGTACATATATATGTATGTAGTAGCTTTGAAAATAAACAGAAAAACAAAATGGCCGTTATTGAATGCCAGTATCTAGCCACCCTAGCTCCCTATCTTACTAATATTATTCATAATTGGGAGCAAGAAAAGCTTATGCACAATAATATAAACGTGAAAAAAATTACCAGGGACGAACAGCGGATGTTTGACATCTCGTTACACATCATTCTACTTTTTGATTGGTATTTATTGTTATAAATACTTAGTCTCATTTCCGGCTATAAATACAGAAGTACACACTACAAATATTACATATGTATGTTCTCATTGCCAATATCATAAGAATTCCACAGAAATTGAATAACATAAATTCAAGTATTGTTGAAAAAAAACCCGAGAAAAATAATTTGATTTTTTCTGGGGTCAGTATGAGCTTTAGTAGGGAGTGAGTGAGTATTTCCAAGTATAAGTTTTTGTCAGATAATAAACGAAGGCATAAGATTTTTATACCCTGAACAGGGTATATTAAGTTTGCCACGAAGTTTGTAACACCCAGAAGGAAACGTCGAAGATCCTATAAAATATATACATAAGTGATCAGCATGATGAGCTGATGCCCGTCTGTCTGACCGTCTGTCCGTCTGTCTGTATGTATACAAACTAGTCCCTCAGTTTTTAAGCTATCGATCTAAAATTTTGCACCTGTCCTTTTCTTAGAAAGAAGCTGCTCATTTGTCGGAACGGCCGATATCGGACCATTATAGCATATAGCTGCCATACAAACTGAACAATCGGAATCAAGAGTTTGTATGGAAAACTCTTTAATTTGACGAGGTATCTTCACGAAACTTGGCATGAATTATTATTTAAGGCAGTAATCTAATCGCCAAAGAAATTATATAGATCGGATGACTATAGCATATAGCAGCCATATTAACTGAACGATCGGAGTAAAGTGCTTGCATGGAAGATTTGTTTATTTAACGAGGTAGCTTCACGAAATTAGGCACGAGTTATCGCTTAAGGCAACAAATTATTCTCCGCTGAAATTGGTCAGATCAGATCACTATATCAAATAGCTACCATACAAATGGAACGTTCGAAATAAAGTAAGGGGCCTTTGTATTTGTGAAGGGTATTATAGCTTCGGTGCAACCGAAGTTAACGTTTTTTCTTGTTTAAAATAGTTTCGATTTTGAGGTGTCATTTCTTTCACAAAAATTGTTTGTTTTTGGGGAATCAACATTTTGTGAAAAGTCAAAATTTCGACAAGTCCTTCGATTATTATCTGCATTCATCTTTAATAAAATGAAACTTTTTGGTTTGTGGACTTGAGATAATTTTAAGCAGAAGAATGTTCCTTACAGCTAAACACCTTTTTACGAAGGTCCTCCTGGACATCGGCAACAGAAACAAGGAAATTCGAAAATTTTCAAAATTATTCACCTTTTTTTAAGTACGTTGAATTCCGGAAATGTACATGCACAAAAAACTGACTTTCAACTGAATATATATAAGGGGTTAGGTCAATCTACATAGGTGTCTCAACAGATCGTTAAAAAAATAGTTTGGTTAAAACTACACTTTAGCTTCCTAAAAACATTTTTCAATTGTTTCGTTCAATTTGGTTAATTTTTTCGGTAAAATATTGAATATTTTTTTACAAGTCCAACTTTTGCGAACAATTAATATTATGCTTCAAAAATACAAACATATGTACATACTTTACAAGCAAGTCCTATTCAG